GTACTAGGCATGTCCAAAGGTCGCATCTTCACGTGATGGTGCACGTGATTTTTTTTGTTATTCGCCGGTCGATAACGTATTATCTCCCTCTCGCGCTGTTGCGAGGGAGACAGCCTAATTTCGTCACTCTCACGTGATATGCTCTCAACCAATAAAACACTAGAAAAATGCGACTTTGACTATTGATATATAATAAATATATTTATATAATACCTTATTGAATTCTGATCGTTTAATTGGCTGTTTATGATCACGTGATACTGAATAGAAAATTCCATTTCCCAAGAGTGCAATGGAATACGTTCCATTGCACTCTTGCGAGTGCGATTGTACTATACGTTTTATTCCATTGCACTCTTTGTGTTTTCGATAAATCGCATCCGTCAAAATGCTTCTCGTACTGTGATCGCTGTTTATTTTAACCCGATATTCAGAACTCAGTAAATGGGATTTAACGCAAATACGACTCGTCAAAATGGCGGGAGCTTTATACAGTAAACCTTTTAATATTTGTCTATTTTGGTATTATATAAAACAAATAATGAATGTTCTTATTCGTGCAATGGTAAGATTATTTTCATTCGGTAAAAGATGGAATGTTCCATTCAACTCGGCTGTCGCCTCGTTGAATGGAACATTCCATCTTTCACCTCATGAAAATATTCTTACCATTGCACTCATAAACATTCGTTATTTGTTTAATATATATGAATATATATATATATATATATATAACTGTAACCCTAACTGCAACCCTAAACTAAATTTTTGTACATTTCACTCCATAATTTTTATAGGTACAGATCGACACAACATAGTGGAAATGGCCAACCCTTCAGTGAACTATCCTTTAACTTCTCGAAAGCCATTAAAAATGTTCACCAACGCTGATATCGTCTGGTCAAGTGATGAAAAGACGAAGACTAAACGAGATCTTTGGCTAAGTATGGCTTCCTCTGGCTACTACAGCAGCGTGTCGCATTATAAGACTTTGAAACAACAACTTCAGTAATCGTAACGAGAAGGGACGACTTTTCGTCCGACAAGGCAAAAAGTAAACACAAGAACCTGTAGTGCTATAAAGAATGTTTTTACCTCTCTCTGAATTGCGCAACTCACCACCGTCGTCTTGCAGGGTATTGAATTCAATTAAAATTAAGTTTATATGTATGTTTAGAAAAAAATTTTAGAAACTGTATACCGCGTAAGCCAGCCATTTTACATGAAACTTTTCGTTATTGAGATATTGTTTTAAATATATAAGAAGACGACGTTCTTGGCAGACTATAATTGTTTAAGGTAATTCCGCAGTTTTGCATTGCTCACTTTTACTGCGCACATCTTATAACTTATATTTTCATCCATTATACGTACCGTTTAAAAAAATATCATTTTATGACAATTCTATGTTACTTCAAAACATCTTTGGTTACATTCGTGCAGAGAATTACGTTAAAATCATTTTTTTCAAAAAAGGCATACAAAAGTGTAGCTAGGGTTCCCTGTGTCTGTAGTATATTTATTTACTTGTATTTCACGTTTTAATGCCACAATGGCCTAAAAAGATCGGTGACCCCCGTTTTTTAACTGATAATTTATTTCTTTAATGTATTTTACATTTTCTTATCCGAAATTAAAAGAAAAATCATTTCTGGATCTTGAAAAAAAATGCTTTATCAATGCATGTTCTGAAAGAAAGATATGTAAAGAAATGTGGAAAAGACATTTGTGGATCAGAATTGTACACGTTAGTAGTTTCATTTTGCTCAAAACACAATATTTTTTCAAAATAATTACAAGACAGGTTTACTAAAGGAAAATCCGTGCTAAAAACGTCAATAAATATCGGGCTGTTGTGAGTTTGCTGTTACTCGTAATGAGCGTCAAGATGGCGCCATATTGCGGTAAAGGTGGTATATTGTGATTGTCATATCTTCTTAACGAGTTCGGTGACACCGACTTTTTTGTGTGATTTTATTTTAAGTATATCATAAACTCCAGGCCTGGGAAGTTTCAGCACATTCTCATTTCGGGAACAATTACTGCGGGATTACCTTAAACGAAAAATGTATTCTGATTAGACATCTTCAAGACAGCATATTTTGCCTTTTATCCAGAACATTTTGCCATTTTTCGCTTGAAATCTACACGATTTCTCAGCGTTTGATGTGTTTTACCTTGCTTATGACGTCACACTTCATTTATTCTAAAATTTCTCAAAACCGGAACATTAGCTCTTCAATTATCAAAATTGTGCTTTCTAACTTAATAAGCCCATGCAGATCAGTTGAAAATAATTCCGATCTCCGATACGAATTTGCTATATTAAATTTGCGTCCGGACATTTAATTTACACTGCTTTTGTACGCTGGTTATATTCAGTAAATTTTCTCCCAGTACTTATAGGCAAACAATTTTGTGTAACATGTCCGCTCATGACATTATGAGCACGCACGAGAGAGAGAATATTCATTAAATTTGACCAATATGTTTTTTCAAATTACTTGTTAATGAGAGAAGCTTTAATTTTCTTTATAGTTCTTCAGACCGCTGCCTTGCTTTATATATTAATTACTACTTTAGCTTAGTTTGATTTGAAAAATTCAATGTAGATTTAGTGGATCGCATGTTCTGTAATGTTAGAAAGACCATACTATAGACAAAAATCATAATAATTGAATATCAATTTAATTATTGGCCATGGAAACGATTCAAGTTTGAATAAAAACTAGTTAGAGAACGATCATCGTTGCACCAATGTCAATAATGAAGATTTACTTATTTTGTATTTTGGCGGTATTTTTGTATTTTGGCCTCGAATTGCTAGCATTATCCGCAATTTTCTCTCTCTTTTTCTTAATTCTTAGAATTCCGATCGTGGCATTTTTCTTTTGTTGTGTCATATAGACAATGTTTGCTTTCCTACAATGTGATGAATTGCTCAGTTTTTTCTGAACTCCAAAACTCTTCCTGTCGCCATCTGTTTTCACAAGATTTTTAAGATTTTTACCAAAATAAAACTCCATTGAGAACAACCGAAATCAGCACAAATTTGAACTAAGAGCAGCTAACTAGTATCTTGCCTTTTGATAAAAAATTTGAAAGACGTATAGCCTCAAAGTTTTGGAGTTTTGGTGAGCACAACTTTGATAAAATGTAATAAAGCAAGTTATAGTACACGCAAAATCATTTGTTTTTAACGTTTTCAGGTCAGAATTTCCAACACTGATAGACTGTACTGTTTGTTGCATTCTTACTCTATAAATAGGGACTTTTTCTGGAATTCAAAAGGCTTTGATCCCCAATAACGTTACATCTATTCAGTACGTTAAATATTGGCTTTCGACAAATTCTTAACATGTTTTACCTGAAATTAGACAACGTCTATACCACTGCCCGTTTTTCTGTGCAAACGACATTACGATTTAACAATTAAGGCCCGATTCCACGAGGCGGAATTTTTCGACCGAAACGAAATTCCTCTTTGTCTTTTTACAATTAGTTCTGCTCGAGAGCTCATGAAACAAAAAGAAATTTCGATTCGGTCGAAAAATTTCGCCTAGTGGAAAACCGCCTTTATTCATCGATGTGAAGGTGAATATAGTGCGAATAGAATATATGAGGCGAATAATTGTTTTAGCATATACCACAACAAAACCAAAATGACTAAGAAAACAAGGAAATTATTTTAAAAGAAATTTGTACAGCTCCCGTAACACAGTAGTTGTAAACAAAACAGTATTTACACGCTTTTAATTTAGTAATGTTATTCATTAGAAATAGTTTTAAAGAATGCCTCTATACACTGTTAAACCGGCTAAGTTTGTGCAAACTTCCTTTAGTACAAAAATTTGCTTGTCTGTATAAACCGGAACTAAACGGGAAGCCATTTTGGATTTTTTTGCCGGAGGTGCATGAATAGCGCAAGGATATCCATGTTATAGTTATGTCACAGAATAAAGATCAGTAACAGAAGGGCAACTCAGCGGTGCAACGTGTCCTCGTTTTTTTATGCAAAAATATGCAGTTTACTGGCCAGAAGGCGGAGCAGCCAGCCAGTACAGCGTGTTTATTGGCCAGAAAATGTCATTGACTGGCTAGGAAAATGGCGGCCAACATGCGTAATGCGACATGCGCGAGGACAAAAACTTCAAAGCTTCCGACGTAAGTTGCCCTTCTATGTGAATCTTTATTCTATGGTTATGTAGTGTGCCAAACACATGGTGCAACTTTAATTTATACTTTATTATTATTAAAATTCAACCAAGATACAAATATCTACATGCATAAAACCATAAATAAGACCATTTTAGTACAGTAACCATGAACTACGTCTCTCGTGCAAAACAACGTATTTTCACTAACAGTTATCTTTGCTCTCTCACTTGTTTGATCGGGTAACTTAAATTTCACCGCTAAAACCTAATGCTTCAGTAACAGAAAATTGACGAATTTTCGGAAATGTTGACCTAAAAGAGGGCTAAAAACAGTCTTTTCGAGTGCAAATGGGGAGTACGTTGGAAATTTGAAAGTTTTTGTCGGAAATTTAGGAGGCTTTGCCCCCCCCCCCCGGAAAAAGTGAATTTCCGCCACTGTTCAGTAAGAATCTATAAACAGCATTTCACACCTAATGCTTCAGTAATAATCTGAAATCTTGTTCATCTGCAACTTGATGGAAGGAGATCAAAAAGTTAAGTGGCGTATCTTCACCTGTGCCCTCACAAGAAGACACGATGTCAATCCTGCACAACATTGATAAAGAGTCGTTGCCATCTGATCACACTCCTGAGCAACTTGCAAACATGATTAACGAATCTCCTGTAACGCCTATGAGAGCCTTTAAACCACTACTCCCCACTTACGTCTTGATAACGAGGATGATAATTTCCCGAGTCTGTTGCCCGTCACCGAGTTTTCTGCTGTTTTCAAGATGTTGTGATTCTTAATGCAAGGAAAGCAACTGGCCCAGACGGCATTTCCGCCTGGGTCTTAAAAGAGAACGCTGACACATTGGCTTCTTCTGTGGCGGATATCATAAACAGCTCTTATAAAGAGGCTCATTTACCAGAATCATGGAAAAAAAGCAGACATTACACCAATTCCAAAGCAGAAACCTGTCCGAGATGTAATTAAACACCTAAGGCCCATATCACTTACTGCGATCGTATCAAAAGTAGCTGAGGAATTTGTCGTGGAAAACTATGTTAAACCGGCTGTACTATTAAGAAGATAGACTCTAATCAGTATGGGGCAATCCCAAACTCAAGTACAACCATAGCTCTACTCAGTATGTTACAATCCTGGAATAAGGCAACTGATGGCAACGGAGCGGCCGTTCGGGTACTGTTATTGGACTTTAAGAAAGCTTTTGACCTGATTGATCATCACTTATTGGTTGAAAAACTACGCTTATTCGATATACCGAAATCGGTTTTAACCTGGATCGTGGATTTTCTCTCTGGTAGAAAGCAAAGAGTTAAGCTGAAATACGATAGTTTCTCGGAATGGGAACTTGTAGTCTGCGGGTGTTCCGCAGGGGACAAGGTTAGGGCCTTGGCTATTCCTGATTGTGATCAATGACCTTATAAGTTGCAAAATGAAATGTGGAAATTCGTGGACGATACCACTGCCAGTGAAGTAATTGGGAAAGATCAAACAAGTAACTTGCAAAACCAAATGGACATTTTATCGAACAGCATTTCATCTGATAAGTCCCAACTAAACGAATCAAAGTGTAAAGAAATGAGAAATTGTTTTGGATCTAATATTAACGACTTTCAACCAATTTAGGCCGTGAGCAAGTGGCTCAAAAGGTAACCTGAAGTTCAGGACCTAATCACAGAATAGGGCCTGACCATAGTTAATATAGAAGACCGGGTTTGGAAGGCTGGGTCACGTGACGAAATATGTTGGATTTTCGGTCACGTGGAACATATAGTGCATTGCGTGCAAGATCGTAAACAATGGCCATAGTAATTCATACAATGAGTGCGAATTTATACCATGACATGCGAAGCGAAAAAAGCTGTTGGTTTGGCGATTTTTTTACAATGCTTCGAGCCAATTGCTAAATATTTGGTTGTGGAACAAGCAGAAAGCATGTTGGGCTCGGAATCTTTCGAATTCCATCTGGCAAAGACGAATTATCAACTAGAGCTCGAGAGGCTTGGGTTAGGAAACATAATTACAAAGAATCGACATATGGACAAAAGTTTACGTCGCCAGATCGATATTAAAGGCGAGCTGCATGTTTTCGAGCATAGAAACATCCCAAGATTGAAATACATTGATTGTCGTACGTGTATTCTTATTTTTTTCGTAAGCAATGAGTTAAAACTGTGCGAAAGAGGCAATAACGTGAGAACAACTTATATCTACCAGGCAAAACCAGGCAGTAATAAGATTGCCCAAACCTTTACTGGACTATCAATTAAAGAGACTGTAAATTCAGTTGTTGCCCTGACAAGGTTTTTGTTGAGCGAAGGATTTGAGTTTGTGCTCACAGAACGGTTCTGCCAGGATGATATATGATGTTTAAGAGTATTTCGGTTTAATACCAGCGAGCACAAGGGAGAAGGAATGATATTTTACTGTAAAACCCAACAGCAGCTGACAATCCATTCAAGGAAATGTTTCAATTCTGGACGGCATTCTGGTATTAAAGCGAAGAAAGTGGTGTAAATGTGTAATGTCAGTGAGGAGTCATTGCCCAAAGAGAAGAACATAAAACAATCAAGAAATAGTGATCTTGAACATGTTATGAGAACAATAGTACAAGTAATGCAAAATATTGATAATTTTTCGAGAACTCTTGTAGTCTGTAGAGTGCTACGAGTAAAATCATCAGGCATTACTGTACGTAATAGACAGAGTAAAATAATAAAGTAGGGTGCATCTGGGTACATTGCCACTTAATGGGTTAAATTTAGAGAATTTCCATGCTGTTAAAACAAATGAGCTAAAGCTCATTATAATTTTGCTTGATCTAGCTATGCATGATATAACTTTGAAGCAATTTAGTGCTGACACCAATATGTACTTCATGCCACAAAAATGATCTAATAGTTTACCTTGTTAAGAATTTTCAAAATTAACAGTACCTTAGAAGTGCTTAACCCATTAAACACCAACACTCTACCCTTGACAAATAAAATTGTCTGGTATTAAACAGAGTAAAATAGTCTGGCATTAGACAGAGTAAAGTAGGGCCCATCAGGGCACAATGTTACTGAATGGGTTAAGTAAGTCATATCAGTACGTGCTAAACAATAAATTGCAATGCAATGTGGGAAACATGCAGGACAAAATATACCTAATGTTTATATTGACTCAAAATTGTGTGATATAAGCACTTTTAAGGTCTATTACCACTCCCATGAAGTGCTACAGTATATTAGTATAAGATTACGCTTCATTATGATTGGCTAAACAGCAATATTTGTCCCTGAATCAGTTAGCTTGGGGAGGATTGCTTATAAGCTGACCACAGTGAAAGGTGATGTAGCACTTCACGAGGAGTGTTAAAAACTTATTCCTATCCAATCAGTATTTAAGTGTATCTCTTTCAAATAATGCTAGATTTACTCCATAATAATACCCTTTAATTAATTAAACTGAAATGTAGTAGTTAATTAGTGTACATATTTTTTCATCACTATATAAATATTTGCAATTAAAACCTACTAAAAAATATTTACATTTAGCATTCAGTTGCAATAAATATTTTAGTAACAATGTCTAGACCAACCTTGTATCCAGGATCTTTTCTTTTGGAGAGAAAAGACCCTGGTAGATGCTTGTCACATGACGTGCTAAAATCTCATAAAATTTGGCAGATTTTTAATTAACTATATTGGACTCCTTTACTTATGACAATCATACAAAATACATCTCATAAAATTAATTAAACTATAAAAATCATCCAAACATCAAATATTTATAAACCTCAGGTTGGATTGCTAATTAGAAACCTGCTAGATTTCAGTAGATCATGTGATCATGCACTTCAAATGTGTCACATACCATGTGTGACAGCACAGTGGTGACAGTGATTGGTTATGGTTTTTCAATACCCTAGATTATATTTAAGCTGGACATTTGGTCAAATGCAATACATTTTAAAGACGTGATCTTAAAAAACTAATGTACTTCTTTGGTGGCAAAAGGGTTCAAGGAATACATTTAATATTGATTAATTACATCACTCACTAGTCAC